GGCTCACCACAAGCATTTTGACAGGAAGTACCAAGCAGTAATAACAACAATAATAATACAAGCGTGTGTGTGTGCGTGACAGAATGTGTGTGTGAGAGAGAGAGCCAGTGTGTGAGACGGAGACAGACAGAGAGACTGTGTGTGTGGGATTGTGTGATAGAGTGTGTGTTGAAGAGTGTGAGACTCTGTGTGTGTGTGTGTGTGTGTGACAATCTGTGTTGGGGGACTGTGAAAGGCAGTGTATATGTGGGTGTGAGAGCCAGTCTGTGTGTGAGAGACAGTGTGTTTGTGTGTGAATCTGTGTTGGGTGATTGTGTGAGAGACAGAGTGTTTGTTGGGAACTGTATGTGTGTGAGACAATTTGCGTTGGGGGACTGTGAGAGACAGAGTGTATGTGGGTGTGAGAACCTGTTTGTGTATGTTAGGGAAGTTTGAGAGACAGTGCGCGCACTGTCACTTTAAGTCCCTCCTCCCTCCCCCGCCCCCCCGCTTAGCCTGGCTCCCCACCCCCACCCCCCCACTCACATGGAAGTTTCTCTCCTCCTGACCCTGTCCCTGCTGGCCCCCGCCAAAGACCGAATGGCGCAGGACCGCAGGCAGGGAGGGATTTGGCTCTGCTCTGGGCAGCAGGCAGTGGGCCGCGCCGCCAGTGACCGGCTCCAGCCGTGCCGCTCTGACCTCCCCAGGGCTGGGGCAGAGCTGAAGCCCTCAGCCGGCCAGCTGAGGAGTGAGGGAGGGAGGGGCCAGGGGGTCGGGGAGAAGCCCGCTGGCCCAGCGCTGGAAAGGGGCCAAAGAAGAGAAGAGCCCCTTGTGGCATCCCCCTGGCTATGGTGCCCTGGGCGTGGGCCCCGTTTACCCGGCCCTGAGTTTGCTAAAGTCTGTCTTCTTGAAATCCATTATCATTATTGTGCTGTTTTCCTTCCTACCATTCCTTAGAAACATGAACTCTACCATTTCATGATCACTTTCACCTAAGCTGCCTTCCACTTTCAAATTCTCAACCAGTTCCTCCCTATTTGTCAAAATCAAATATAGAACAGCCTGTACCCTAGTAGCTTTCTCCATCTTCTGAATTAAAAAATTGTCTCCAATACACTCCAAGAACTTGTTGGAACTTATACCGACCTAACCCCTCTTGTAGACAGCACTATGTTGGCAGGAGAGCTCCTCTGGTCAACATAACTACCGCCTCTCAGGGAGGTGGATTAACTACATCGACGGGAGAGCTCTCTCCTGTCAGCATAGAGCATCTTCATTAAAGCACTACAGCAGTGCAGCTGCATCAGTGCCGATACAGTGTTTTAAATGTAGACTTGCCCTAGGTCCCTGGCCATTACCATCAAGTAGTCTCCAGCTCCAGATTACAAACAGCTCAATATTAACCTATCTGGATGGGACATGGGGTAGGTAGCAGCTGTCAAATATTTGGGCAGCGTTACAGACAGTGCTGGTGGATGCTTGAAAGACATGGGCAATCACTTAGCAGCAGCTGGTGCCATGTTTTGAGCCCTTCAGTGGCCTGTATAGGGATTTCATGACATCAAATTTGCTATGAAGTTGCAGGTCTATAGAACCATAGTTATACCAACTCTATCATATGGAAGTCAAACGAAGGCACTGAGGAAGGCTGAAGAACACAGGATTGATGTTTTCAATTCTTGTTGTCTTCGTCAGCTGCTCTATATCAAGTGGCAGGATAATATCAGAAATGAGGATATTCAAAGCCAAACCCAGCAACTGCCTCCATCAGCATTGGTTTGATTTCGGCAATTTTCTTGGTATGGACATATCATTAGAATGGAGGACTACTGAATTCCAAGGGTGTGTACCTAGAAATGCCACTACGTGGCCATTGATCACGTGGGCCTCAAAAGCTTTAGTGGCACAACAAGATTGCAAAAGGGAAACAGATATCTGACATTTTGGTCCTGGGCTTTATCAAGGGTGCTTTTCCTTTTGATGAACCTGAGAATGGTATATTGGGACTCAGAGACAGTACAAGTTAAACACAAATGTTATGGTTAAGATGTAGCCACAAACACACATTTGGCTGCTTGTGGGCCTGTCTTATTGTTACTAACTTTAATATCTGCTCACCCACATGCCTCAGTTCAACGTCTGTTCCACTTTTTCCCATGGTGAGTTCAGTCCTGAACACATATGCTGTGTCTTCAAGGTCTAACGAATTACAGCAATAATACAATGATTGGGCTCCATAATAATACTACTTTGCACTTGTGTCTTGCCTTCCACTTGGTTTCAAAGTGCTTTGCAAACTTTAGTGTGCACAAGGAAATCCTGCAGCCCTAGACTACCACCATGGAAGAGCCAAGAGATCCTTTTTCTCCTTCACCACAGTGACCATTAAGACCAGAAGAACTGAAAACCACTGAAACTAGGCTGAAAACCACTTTGTTACCCAGAAATTTTCCACTCAGTTTCAGTATATAGCACCTCTCGTGGGAAAGAATTACCAGCCTCGTTCTCAGAAAATATCCCTTGAATTTAGGATGGCCCATTTGGCTCCCAGGAATGGCTCGCTGTGCAAATGACATACCTTTCTAAAAATCTGACATGTTCACACAACAGCAAGTCCCACAAGCATTGAACATTATTCAAGCCACCATTTGCAACCCTGAACCATGTGATTCCTGGCTGGTGATATACAGTAAAGAGCGCATACTCTCTCTGTTAACAGTGATTGTCAACACTTCCTTTGGGTACATCCAGACGACCCGCCGTATCGGCGAGTAGCGATCAATTTATCGGGGATCGATATATCACGTCTCGTTAAGACGTGATATATCGATCCCCGAACGCGCTCCCCGTCAACTCCAGAACTCCACCGGAGCGAGCGGCAGTAGCGGAGTTGACGGGGGAGCTGCAGCTGTTGATCCCGCGCCGTGAGGACCCAAGGTAAATCGATGTAAGATACTTTGAGTTCAGCTACGCTATTCATGTAGCTGAAGTTGCATATCTTAGACTGATCCCCCCCAGTGTAGACCAGCCCTTTGAAAAGAACAGTCTATACCCTACCCTAACACACACAACAATCCAGCCATAACTCAACAATCATCACCTGACCCAAATGATCTTGCTAACTATTGCCTAGTGTCTGACTCCCATTTTGGGGCAAAGTAATTGAGAAGCTGGTGAAGTGCCATTTACAGCTACCCTTGGCCTCTGCCAAGTTATTGGACCCTTTCTAGGAAGGCTTTAGACTTGGATATGTCACACAGATAGTGATGAGTAACATTTTCTTCTCGGGTATGGACAAGGGGCAAATATCCATATGTTTATGACCAGATCTCTGCAGAATTGGACATGCAGTCATGAGAGGCTACTGATTCACCTTTAAGACTTGCCAGAGGTAAGCAGAAGAGTGTTGAGAAAGGCTCTGATCCTTTCTCTGGAGAGGTTCATGATGGGCAACTGCACCTCTCACCTGAACAGTTGTGCAAGGACTGATCTGGTTCCCAAGTATTTATGTAAAAACTGGGAGTAGAGACTTTGATTTGTCTTTGTATATGGAAGAACATAAGATGGACCTACTCTGACTTTATCTATTGTGGAGGAACAGGGCTCTTTATTCCTGATGAACATTCTAGAGTTTTTTTCTCTAATTTAATTCCTTTTTAGAATAAAACTAAGCATGAGGTTTTTGTTGTGTAGAGTAAATCCTATTAAAATGGTTACAATTCTTAAGCTGTAGTACTTGAAGGAAATGTTTCAGACTTTGCTGTTTATATGATTTATTGAACATATTTCACAAAGCATTGATGAAGGAGTAGTGTTAGTTAGTTAACCAGAATTATCTCCTAGGTCACATGTGGTTTCTCAATTCCTACAGTATTATTCATGAACATAAATGAAATGCAATTTTGTATACCATGGTATCCTAACCTGAATTCAGGCTGCTGAGTATAGAGAGGTTAATACCAAACAATTTACGGAGGCCAACATACCTTAACAAAACTTCTCAAGCCTGACCACGTTGTTTTGACTAGCCCCATTTTCAGATATTATTAAGTAAACTCTCGGAGCTTAGCATCTGGCAAAGAAGCATTTTGCTATTATTTACCCTGTCCTCTTATCCCTGGTTGTTCTTTTCTGATTTTTGAAAACCCTGTTTTTTCTGCTAGTCAGAATTGGTAAAGGCCTTCTGAACTATGTGAAGTATATACAACTGTTTCATATATTTGAGTTTCCTGCCACAGACTTTTTGTTTGCTTTTTATAGATCAAGTATTGCGTCTTCTCAGTTGAAGACCCCTTTGTAAAAAGTTCAGATTCGAAACATGTGCAACATTAGTTTTGATTACTGTGATTATTACATTCTGCCTTGGGCAAATCATTTCACCTCTCTGTATCACAGTTTTCCATCATAAAATGGGGTAATAATGCTTGCTTACTTTTGTAAAGTGCTTTGAGATCTACAGCTGACAAGTGCTGTTACTGCTACCAATTATTCATTTGTATTGTTTTCTTACTTCCCCTTCCCTGCTAGCACCCACTCCCTCCTGGAATCATACTCTTTGCCGTCCACTGACATGGCACTTCTGAAAATCAATAATTCTCAAAACACACTTCCCTTTTCAAGCCAAATCAACCATTTGGGTACTCACACCACAGCAAGAGTGAACTTCCACACTGAACTTCCTTTGGGTTTACAGGAAACATATCGTTTTGAAACCTTTTGGGGGTTGCCCACAAAAGTGAGCAATGAACTGAGACCTGTGGTGATTATTTGTCACATTCACAGCTGTTTTTTCAAGCTGAGACACTTCTTGGACAGTTCACAGGAACTGAAAGATGGCAGGAAGATTCTGTTTCATTTTCTAAAAATACTGCGCTGGTCAATGGCCATCCACATGGTTTAAAATGAAAGATAAAACATCTTCCTGAAATAGAATGTATTTCACCCAGTAAGTCAGAGTGTGTATAATCTTGTTAAATCAGAGTTTCAACAACATAAACTAAAAGCATGTCTCAATATTTCAGTCAACCTGCAGAGAAACCAGCATCTCCTCTGAGTAGAACACAAAGAAACTATGACATGTGCACACTCCTTACAAAAACTACAATAATCGTATTATGCCTGATTCTGCAACTACGTGCAAGGATGACAGTGCATCTCATTGACTTTAATAGGAGTTCCATATGATGCAGTTACAGAATGGGACCCATTCAAGACCCATTCCCACAGAAACTAGTAAGTATAATTGTCACAGGTTCCCACTGAATTCCCCCTCTTGGCTATTCACTAAACTCTGTGAGGGAACTCAGCTGCTGATGTTGTCAGATGCCACATGTATGGTGCTCTGCTCTGTTCAATGTTGATAACAGTCGGCTGCATGCGTGTGTTCCCTCTGTGTGCTGCCGGCTCTACAGATCGCTGGCACAGCAGACCCCGAGAGAACCCCCAATGACCACAGACTCCGATAAGATACAAAGGCACCCAGCCGGGTTTATTGTCAAACGAAGCACAGTAATACACCTCTACCCCGATATAACGCTGTCCTCAGGAGCCAAAAAATCTTACTGCATTATAGGTGAAACCGCGTTATATCGAACTTGCTTTGATCCACCGGAGTGCGCAGTACCGCCTCCCCGGAGCACTGCTTTCCCATGTTATATCTGAATTTGTGTTATATCGAGTTGCATTATATCGGGGTAGAGGTGTAGTTTCCAGCAGACTCTACAGGACATACTACGAATATGTGCCCCCTGACAATGGACACAGCTCAGTCAGTGGCGGGACACTCCACTGCTCCCCAGACAAAGACACCACCCCAGAGGTGCATTCTTATACACAGGTACAAACAAGTTACACATCACTCCTGACGTATTGAGGTGCAACCCCTCTATGTAGCAAGGTGCCGCCTCTCACCTTGTACATGTTGGTTCGAACAAAACAACTCTATCCATCATATTACCCTTTTGCCCCATCTTTAGGATGGGTCAGCTTGTTCCTTGTTATGTGTGTGGAATGTGCAAGTATTGGAGTGTTCTGATATCTAGTCTCCAGTACCTTTTAGGTATATATCTTTATGCAGCATCAGCCCTTTCCTTGCCAGCTTCTGTGAGCAGGGCCTGCCTCTGGCTCACAGCTTAACTTTGCTTTACGTTAGCAAAATCTTGACCATTACTTTAGTTCAGGCCTTAGGCCTCATACCGGGCCTCTGATATAAGGGATTATGTTTCAGGGCCTCATCTTACTACATTCCCCCACTTTTTGTCTTTTTATGGGGAGAATGTTTATCCATCATCCCGGAAAAGCATAATGCATGGACTAAAGATAACCCAGTGGGCTAAATACTGTTATGTGGTTATCTTATTTTATCATCCATACATTCATGCCCCATCTGCCTTTTAGTCTGCACATTCCCATGTACGAGTGATAGACAGATTTTATTATCCAATTATTTTTTAGTCTCTTATGGCAGGCCTGGGAATGTTAGGCCTGGGACCATGACTGAGGAATGTAGTATTATGATTGAGCCTTAGAGGTACTCCCAAATAATTAATATATATATATAGATATGGCATATATATTTGTAGTGTATATGGGCATATATGTATAGTATGTATGTATACATATAACAGCACTTTATATCCAAGCATAACAATTCTTTTCCAATCTGTTGTTGTAGTTTGGCCCTTGTGGTACTGCAGATAGCAACCCTTTCCCCCGCCTCTCCTCACTTCGGCTCTCTCTCTTTGTTTTAAAAGTTAAAAGTTCTAGTTTTTACAAAAACCTCCAAAAGATAAAGTAATTGAAAACAGAACAAAACAAGAAACAAAAAGAAAACAAGGTAAAAACTTTAAATAAATCCAGTAAATTTATTATTTTAACCCTTCTGGAATGGAACAGCTGGAATTATTCCTAACTTTCTTGAAAATATGGTTGCCAAGCAACAGAAATGCACACTCTGCTTCTAATCCTAACCACTCACTAATATTTGAAACATGGGCTTTTCTTATTTCCATATAGCAGAGTTTTAATATAATGTTAAATAGAAAGTAATGCAAAATTCCTTGTGACCAAATTAATACAATAAATTTGGCAAATATTAATATCTTTTTTTTATCAATTTATGTTAAAAGCTTTAAATAAGGTAATAACTTGTTTATTCAAATGTTTAACCCTTTTTATTTTTGTTTTCCTTATTTTGTACAGTTACGGCAATCACGTGTGGGAGTCAAAAGCTTCAGTTGCACCCTATGATTGCCAGTGATGGAATAAACAGAATATATGACCAGCCACCTTATGCACCTTGCCAGAGGGCAAGCCAGCTTATGCTATATGGGCAAAGAAGCTATGCCCCTCTGGAATTTGCTATGATGAAGATGATGAGTTGTTTTCCACGTTTCCGAGAGTTTCAATCATGATGGGGCTTTTAATTGCTTAATTCTTCCACTCAGGGCATTTTTTTTAGTTTCTTTTTACTCCTGTACCATGTAACGTTCAATGATCACTCACTGCTTAGAGGGCTTGCAAGAGATCTGCTTTATTCAGTATCCAGTTTTAAATGGCTATACATAACTATAACAGCTTCAAAGCATCCCACCCAGCCTCTCTGTCTAGGAAGCTCACCCCTTAAAGACACTTTCCCCAATACCTCTCACACAGCTCCAACATTCCCAAGCTTCAGATTCTTAAAAAGGGTGACACTTTTGTCTGACACATTAATGACTTGAACTCGAAACTCTCCACTGGAACTTGCTGGTACTAATATATTACTTATAGAACCCTTTTTGGTGGGGTTTCCGCTGCAAAGAGGCCCGGAAAGCTGGAATGCTTCTTATCTCCAAAGTGGGACTGGTGTCAGGTTTCTTTCCTGCACTAAAACTGGGCATTGAATCAAGGCTCTACATGATTTTTGCTCCTGCTCTTGCAGGGGAAGGGTGTGGGCAGGGCCGGCGCAACCCATTAGGCGACCTAGGCGGTCACCTAGGGCTCTACAATTTGGGACGCGGCGATCACGGCGGTATTTCGGCGGCGGGACCTTCCGCCGCCTCTGTGGGGGGCAGCATTTCAGGGCAGGACCTTCCGCCGCCTAGGGCGGCAGAAAAGCTGGTGGCGCTCCTGGGTGTGGGTGCTGACTAGAAAGTGTTGCCAATTATTCCAGTTTTTTGCTCCATTTATCTAATTCCTACCAATACTCCTGCAAGAGCCACATTTCCAACAACTATTTCATCATCTAGTACCAGATGGAGTCATAGAGTTTAAGGTCAGAAGGGACCATTATGATCTTCTAATCTGACCTCCTGCACAATGCAGGCCACAGAATCTCACCCACCCACTCCTGCAACAAACCCCTAACCTATGTCTGAGCCATTGAAGTCCTCAAATCATGGTTTAAAGTCTTCAAGGTGCAGAGAATCCTCCAGCAAGTGCCTTGTGCCCCACGCTGCAGAGGAAGGCGAAAAACCCCCAGGGCGTCTGCCAATCTGCCTTGGAGGAAAATTCCTTCCCGACCCCAAATATGGCGATCAGCTAGACCCTGAGCATGTGGGCAAGACTCACCAGCCAGACACCCAGGAAAGAATTCTCTGTAGTAACTCAGATCCCACCCCATCTAACATCCCATCACAGGCCATTGGGCATATTTACCGCCAATAGTCAAAGATCAATTAATTGCCAAAATTAGGCTATCCCATCATACCATCCCTCCCATAAACTTATCAAGCTTAGTCTTGAAGCCAGATATGTCTTTTGCTCCCACTGTTCCCCATGGAAGGCTGTTCCAGAACTTCACTCCTCTGATGGTTAGAAACCTTTGTCTAATTTCAAATCTAAACTTCCTGATGGCCAGTTTATATCTATGGTTGCTTGCTACACCCCAATTTGTGGTTTACATGCAGAAAGTTTATTCCAAACATTGTTTCTCCAGAAATGCCTGGTTTGCCCAGGAAATCCATTTTGTAGTCAATCTTCTAAATCATAGGGTCAATTGCATTTTTCTGAGTACTTCTACAGGTCTCTATTTGATGGCTAGAAGTCAGAGTAGTCATTTGTAAATTAGTTTCCTTCAAGTCAAGGAGATGAATACAAACTCCACTTCATTTTTTTTTTCCTCACTAGACTTACAATTTTTGTGTCTTAATTGTTCGGGGCACAAATTTTAATTCAGGTTTATTACCAATTGTGTAAATTGAATACCAGGCCAAAGAAGGAGTGTTCAGGTCAAAAGCAGAACGTACACCGGGGGGCGGGGAGATGGAACGTAGAAACACATAAGAAAGATGAGCTCATCAGGTTCCAGTAACCCTGCATGACCACAAACTGATCTCTGAAAGTGTTCCACGTTTCAGTTGTAAGAAAACTATTTGACTATCTGATCTAGCCATTTATAAAATTATTGGAATACTGGTGACTATCTCCTTCCTCAGTCATTAAACATGTGTCTGGTTATGGCCACTCGAAGCTTATAATTAATGTGGGTAATGGGACAAGTTTATGATGCCGTTGTTCAACATTAAAAGCACACTGTCGCGTTAAATGTGCAATTCTGTTTTGAAAAGTGGCACCTTCTGAACTCAACAGATCTGATCCCTGTCGGTATTCAGTCATAAGTACTGACTTCAGTGATAAAAACAAGATTTTACTGCTTTTTACTCCTGGTTGCATTGCAGAGCCAACAGCTAAAGGGAGTTTAAGCTGGAGTTCATTCTTCATGGCATAGGGTCAACAGGATTGCTTACTACATTCCACCAGTTACACCTGTGCAAATCAAAGCAAGGCAATGAAGTTGTACAAGTATCAATGAGGGCATAATTTGGCCTGTAGAACATTTATTACTGATGATGATAAGCAGCACAGAAAGAATCCAGCTTCACTTTCTGAACTCAGGTTGAATTTGTAGGTTTTGTAGTTAGAAAAACATTTTGTATTTGCAAATAGAGCATATTTGATATGCAATCCTGATCACACATGGAACTCCACATCGCCATTTTTACAGTCACAATTCAGGAAATAAACGCACTTTAAAAATCATGGGCCTTATTCTAACGTCACGTACATTGGGGTTACACAGACGTGACCGACTTAAGTGGAATTATTCCTGATTTACACAAGTGCGAAATTAGAATCTATTCACAATATATTTCCAAAATATTCTTTGCCTAATCTACAGATAATACCTTAGATTATTAAAAGATTAAAAATATCAGTTTACATACTATGCTATTTAGTTTTCCCATTTTCCAGTTAAAATAAACTAGGTAGTATCACTTCTGTTTCTAGTCAATCACTTTCTATTTTTCATGTATTATGACACTGCTGCACTATTTGGGTGGCAAACATTGCAGGGGAACGTTTATGATTTAAAAATAACTTTTATTTGATCTTTTAATTTCATGGTAACATTTCCATTGGTCAGATTTTGAAAATAATTGGGTTTTTTACAAAACCTATATTTGGGCTAAATTTGACTGTGTCCCTTTGACACCTGCTGCACACGGTAGTCATCACAAAGGTGTATAGTGATCTCTAGTTCAGATTTTGAGTTGAGGCTAAAAAGACATGGCCAGATTAGAAAGTTATTTACCGTATGATAACTGGAGATTCTTTGAGATGCATGGTTGTGACAGAATATACCCCTGGGTTCACACTCTCCACACTATTGTAATAATGTTTGTACAAGGTATGCCTTTTGAGGTATCATTTCAAAACATATAATTTGATGATCAATACTATCATGGCAAAATGCACATAGCAGTGTTATATGTGACGTTATAAACATAAGATGAGATCATGACTAAAATTATGTTTTGTTGGTAAGTCTGGGGACTGGCCAAACCGGTTCCTCAGAGACAAAGGGCAGGCTGATCCCTCAGCCAGGTGTAAAAAATGCTGATGGACCATTACTTGCTAAGTGGCCATTCTTTGGCAGGAAAGGGGGCAAGGGCAAAAAGTCTACATCTTAGGCTATGTCTACAGTGTAAACCTTACAGAAGCACGGCTGATCTGCTGCAACGGTGCTGTTGTAAGGTGTGCTATGTAGCCGCTCTGTATCGCCGGGAGAGATCTCTTCCAGAGACAAAATAAAACCACCTCCAACGAGGGGGCGGTAGCTTCGTCATCGGGAGTGCGGCTCCTGTTGCCGAAGCGCTGTCCACAGCAGTGCTTTTCATCATGAAACTTTTGTCGTTCAGGGGGGTGTTTTTTCACACCCCTGAGTGACAAAAGTTTTAACAATGAAAGTGCCAGTGTAAACAAAGCCTTACTACAGAAACAGGGTAGAGTTTCCTTCCACACAGACTGCCTGGCGCCTTTCTCCCAGCTGAAAATGCTTCTCAAAGGGGGGACAGGACTATAAAAAGAAGGGGCAGACATCCCAAGACACCCCTCCTCTCTCTCCCTGTCTGTCTCTGGCATCGCACCTAAGCAGACACAGGAAAACTGCCATTGGATTTGGGAGTAGGGGATCCTGATCTGAGAGTGTGGTCAGTAATCTGCTGAAAGCATGTGGTGAGAAAACTTTGCTTTTAATCTAATATAATTTGTTAAGTTAGGTTGCTCGTGCCTATTTTATTTTTCTTGTAATCATTTCTGACTTTTATGTCTCATTATTTGCATTCACTTAAAATTTCTCTCTTTGTAGTTAATAAACCTGTTTTATTGTTTCATCTAATTCAGTGTATTTAAGTTGAAGTGTCTGGATAACAATTTTTAAAAAATAAGATGGCATATTATTCCCTTAAAGGAATAACAGACTTAATATATTTGTATTTTCCAGAAGTGGGCTGGGCAGTATGGGACATACATTTCTGCGGGGAAATCTGGGACTGGGGCTATGTTGGGGTCACTCTGCAGTATAACCAAGGCTGGTGAGAGCCAAGGTGTGGCTGGCTGGCTGGTTGTAGCACACACACACCCAACATAGCTGGGAGTGACTTACATGCTGGAGGCTGTTTGTGAGCAGTCCAGGTTGGAGGCTACAGCAGCAAGGCATTGTAATGGGCACTCCAGGTTATTGGGCAGAGGTGACACCACTACTCATTATTCTGGATTGTGCCCAGTAGTCCCTATCTGTACTCCACTGTGGATACACAGGCACCCCATTTGCCCAGAGTTGGAGCATTCTTGACAGCAATATCTGTTGGTCCACACATGCACCCTCACCCTCCTCATGCTTCCAACATAAAGGGTGGAGCAGATGGACCACCTCTCCAGTTCTTTTCTACTGCAAATCCAGGTAAGATCTGAAGCAGAGGGGAAGGAAGGAAGGTATATAATGACCACATATCTCGAAGAACTTCCAATTGCCATGAGGTAAGTAACTTTCTCTTCCTCTTCAAGTGCTGGGGTCTATGTGTATTCCACTGTGGGTGACTGACGAGCAGTACTCAAGTAGGAGGAGGGTGCAAGGATGCAGGCAGCTGGGCTGCTCGAAGGACCATTGTCCAAAAGGATGCATCAGTAGAGGAATCCAGCACTAAAGCATAATATCTTGCAGATGTATGGACAGAACTTCATGTAGCTGCTTTGCAAATGTCAAGTAGGGGTACTTCTTGAAGCGATGCCATGAAGTAACTTGTGGTCTTGTGGAATGAGCCTTCACTCCAGGAGGGGAGAAAGATGTGCCAGTTGATAGCAGAATAGGATACAATTCAACATCCATGTAGAGATTCTCTGGGATTATATAGCCTGACCTTGGACTCTTTCTGCTATAGCGATAAATAATCTGGTAATTTTCTGATTGGCTTTGTCCTTTGCAGGTGAAAGGCTAAGACTATTCACATGTTGAGGGACTGAAGTCTCCTCTCCTCTTCAGATGCATTTAGTTGCAGAAAAAATATAGGTAAATGCATTACTGGTTCAGGTAAAACTCCAAAACTACTTTGGGGGTGAACTTCGGACGTAAACGTAAGGAGACTTGTCTTTACTGAATATGGTGTAAGGCAGATCCTCAATCAGTGTTCTGAGCTCATTTAACCTTCTAGCTGAAGTGATGGCCACAAGAAATGCAACTTTCATAAATAGGAGAGACATGGAATGTGTAACTAGTAGTTCAAAGGGAAGCTTAGTGAGTTCCGAAAGAACAAGATTTAAGTCCAGTTGAGGAATAGGTTTCCTTACTGGCAGAAACCGCTACTCAGTGGATAAGCAAAAATTGGAGTATTGATGTGAAGGTGGGTGGTAAACACTGATTGCTGCCAGGTGGACCCCTAAAGAGTTGATAGAGAAACCAGCCGTTTTGAGAGAGAGAAGATGGTCTAAGATAAGAGGAATATCTACTGACTCTGGGAATGCAAGTTTTGCTGTGCCTAGATGGAGAAATGCTTCTCCTTGGCTAAATAGCATTTCCTGATTAAATCTTTTCT